AAATAGTAACTTGGGTTTCCTTCTGCAATTAAATTAAATACAAGACCAAGCCTTGTATTAAATTAATCAACGTACAAACAACATGTAAATAACGATTAAGTTGCAGAATTCAATTGTGTAAAGATGAGTTTCCTTCAAAAACAGATTTAAGGAATAATGAAATAATGCTAATAGATAGATATAAACGATTTTATTATACATAATACAGAAACAAGACTAGAATAATATTCATATTGATGGATAAAAGATAAACGTACTTCATATGATTAAAGATGGTTCTAAACTAGTACGAATACTTTTGACAAAAATAAAGGACAAACCTCCTGCAGCATTCAAAGCGGTCTTATGATCCATCCCAATCATCGGCTTTGAAGGAAAGGAAGATATCTTATTAGTGGCGGCAGCATTCGGGACGGAGGATAAAACCGTTTCATTCAAGCCACTGACAGGAGCCAATTCCTGCTTAAGTGATAATGGTGACCTGGTATTTGCACTAACGACCTTGTTGTGGACGTATATAGAGGTATTGGTGTGATTTTCTACTCGGCTAGGCTCAAGTAAGGTGATCGTTTGCGCCGAATTTGGAGGGAATGCAAGAACGGAACCTTGAGATAAACCGGTTGCCGGAAGCCGAACAGCAACGAAGGTGACTGGATTAGGTGACGAAGAATAGGCGGCTCTGCCAGAACTAGGAGAGTTTCTAGAACTGACGCTTCCCTGAATAAAAGCTTGTGGTAAAAACGAAAAGACGGTAAGATAGATAATTATATATAGATGATTTAAGGAGAGAGCCTAAAGATTTGATGGTAACTTCAAAAAAGTGCGTTAGAGATAAATAAATAAGTACAGCCAGCAAGACAGATGCAGTCAGGTAAACTAAGAGCTGTAGTGACCCTAGATCGCGTAAGAGGATGAAGAACTCATAGTTAAATTTTCCCCGAATGAGATAAATAGGTCTGACAACTCCATTTAATTTCACTTAGTCTGTCTCCTAAAAGTTATTTTCGCAAAAGTAGACTTCAGCACAGCGTCATGACACCATGTCAAAATCATACACTGCCCTAGCCGTGTTCGATTACAATTGCAAGTGCTGATAAGACCCGGGCAAGGCCGAAGCTGCAGTCCATCTTGGGAGGAAAGGATAAGTGAAATTAAATGGCATCGCGGGATTTACTCATCTCACTTTGGAAAAATTTAACTATCAACTTGTGCTACCTATGGAATTACAGCTCTTATTCAAGATCGGCTTGCACTTTCAAAGCCTACTCAATACGAGTATTAAGGTAATTAAATAGAAACATTCAGCAACATAGTGTCCATAATACACAAATTCGAGCTATAATATATACTCCACTTTGATAAATGAACATTTCGATTACAGATATGAAGAGTAACTGGGTTTCGATAAATCTTCTATGATAACATTGTTGAAGAGAGTTTCATTTCGTATGAAAGTGCATGAAGAAGAGATTCGAAGGTCGATTTCACCAAAATAAGACGGTTGATTCCCGTTGTAATGCAGGCTTTTGGCTTAAAAACGACGTTTAGCTTTACGCAGTCCAAGAGACAGCCTTCCTCGTTTTGGGTGAAAGCAGGCTGAGCCTATGTCTATCATATGATGGGCATCATCAGAGCTGGAACTCATTCTTATAAGTCTGAAGTTAACATTAGGTCAAGAATATTCTTAAGCTTTAGTTTAGTTCGTATATATTCATAATAAAAAAAGGAAAAGGTATAGAAATGGATAAATATATAATGATTTGGCTAATTCACTTTCGTATTGGTACTGATACTTTTACTTGAGTGTGTGTATGTGTATTTGTATTTTAACATCTATAGCAATAAATGTTGTAAGACAGTGATTAATAATGCCAGGGTGAGCAGTGCTTAATTACTGAAGAAAAAACCCCTGACCTAGACTGTTTAAGTCCGTAAGCTTGACATTTGGCTTTATTAACGATTCTGCATTAGAAACGGTTTTGCATATAGACGTTAACGGTTCAGATATTTCACTCGACCCCTATATGTACCACTCAAAACGCTATTTCCCACATCGTCTAAGGCTTTTGATGGCATGCATACTC